ATATATATATATACACGTGTGTATGTGTGTATGTGTATATATATATATGTGTGTGTACATATATATATATATATATGTGTGTGTGTGTGTGTGTGTATGTGTGTGTGTGTGTGTGCATGTGTACATTATACACATTTACACATATATACACATATATACACTAGGGGTTGAACGATTACATAATTTTTAAACTCGTCATTAACATGATAAAACTCGAGTAGAACTTGAGTACTTGATGACATCATAGGATCTAAAGATGCAAAAATAAATAAATAAAACTGCAAAAAAGGTCATTATTTACTAAAAAGACCAATAAAACACTGGGAGCATATATTATGCTCCTACCATTTATCATATAGCAAATAAGTCACAGGAAAAACTAAACTATTAGTTATTATTATTATTAAGCTGCAAAACTGAAAGAAACGTGCAGCACGCCCAAAACGAAACTAAAAACAGTCGGGCGGACGACCACCCCGCACCACCGCCCGCAGTGTTGCACATTAGGTTTAGTTTTAGAGATTAATATGTTTATTGGTTTTTTTATAGGTTTAGAATTTTTTTTTTTTTTTTTTTTTTTGTGAAACAAGGTCAGAGGAAGCTGGTTCTGGTTCGGTCATTGGATCCAGTGTTACACCATATTCTGTGACCTGCAACAGTGCGTGCAACACCGCCCCCTACGGTCACAATATACGGTGGGCACAGAATATGGTGTAACACCGGTTTGCAACAAGCACCAAACAGTCAGGAAGTTGATTCATTTTCTGTTTCCTTATGGTAATTGAACTAGAAGATTCATCTTTAGTGAAATATTTCCATACTCTTGATGCATTTTTACCTGTTTGCCAAGACTGGGCCTGCTCCGCTCCATCCGTCTACTTGGAGGAATCCAGTTTGTAACCCGCGCCCGGTGCGGATCACGTGTCATGTGACGCATTGATGTAACAACGACGTAATTACGTCACCACGAATGCTCGACGTGAAATTTAAAAGCTACACATATATACACATACACATATACAGTATATGTATATGTGTATGTGTACATACATACACATATACATGTATATGTATGCACATATGTAAACTGATCGCGCTTATTTTTTGAGAAAACTATGCTTTCTAATTTTATATTACTTTTAAAGTATAGTTTCCTAAAATGAGGTGACTGGTACAGTGTCTGAAAGGCCTCTCCTTTTCTGAAAGTGCATCAGACAACTGCACATTTCAAATGCTTTTTTAATCAAAGATATTTCATCAACAGAAAGCATAACCATGTTTTTGTGAGTTAAAGCAACTTCATGTAGGATCACATATCTGCATCAACAAGCAGATACGGAGTGACTTTACAGTCACACCTTTAAAACCATGAAGCTAAGCAACAAACCAGTTCAGAATGACTTCATAAACATGGAATTCAAGCGTATCTTTTGCACTGTGCGTTGAAATGAAAGGTGTCGATGTAACGGTCTCCATCTGTTGATGCAGCAGCAGTTTATGTATCTGTGTCCACTTCAAATGATGTAGCCACAGCTAAAAGTGCCCATCAAATCAAGCTGGGTTTTATTTTATTTTGTTGAAAAGTTATTTGCGACATAAAAAAAGGAGGAATAAAAGATCGCCCTATCATCTGAGAGCGGCACTGACCATTTCAGAGTGTGCATATTCCACTAAAGCAGGGGTGACAGGAGTGCTCTTTAAGCACACTCTACATTTTGATTAGTCCTTCAACTGAAGTGCCAGGAAAAATTATACAGTCCACGCTAAAAATGATGATTACAAAGTTAGACGCTTCTTCTTCCACTTCTTTTTTCTAGTCTAGACTCACCTGATTGGCCTTTGTTCACAAAACCTTGATAAATACTTGTCATTAACTCACAAATATTGCGGTTTAGGACAGAGGTTTGTATTAAACCCCTAACTTCTAATTGCAGAACTGAGAGTTGCTAAACCCCCAAAGGAATTCAGTCAAATAATTCCTGCTAACCTTAATGGAAGAGACTCCGGTGTCATGTCTGTAATGACTCTGCTGCCAGCAGGTGATTAACTGGGCATTATGGACTAAAGTCTGGCTTGGTAATAGAAAAGCGCTGGATGCTGCTCACTAATTAACATGCAGTGTTTCTGAGCTCGAGCACAGCGATGATTAGCTTTCGTTAGCTTATCATTAGCACTGAAAGACGCGGCGTGACTATCCGTGGCTCACTCCAGAGTTCAGAATCAAACCTTTTAAACTCACATTCTTTGAATTTAAATTTAGGCCTTTTAAAATCTTTGCTTTTTTTTAACATTCCCCATAAAAGAGTTAAAGGTCTAGCGCAGGCGTGTCCAAGCGTGGTCCTGAATGGCCACCATCCTGCATGCTTTACTTGTTCCCCTGCTCCACCACAGCTGAGTCGACGGTTGGATTACATCGTCATGTTTCACAGAAACCTGTTAATCATCCATTGATTCAAATTGTGTGTGATGGATCAGAGAAACATCTGTGACATGCAGGACAGTGGCCCTCGAGGACCAGGACTGGACACCCCCTGGTCTAGCATCACTATTTTCTTTTTTGAGAAATGACAGTTATAGCCCAAAAAAGTTCAATCTGGTCCTCTGGACATTAAAAAAAAAAAAAAAAAAAACAGATTGAACTTTTTTGGATTTTTCTACCTGGATTATTGAGCATGCATCAGGAGACAGTTATAGCCCTTTTCATTATACACGGAAAATAACTTAACGCTATCTCAAGCAATATCTCTCGTGATCTGTTAGCACTCTGAGTAGAGGTTGTAAATGACTCTCAGCTACTACCACGCCAGGTTTTAACTTGGTATCTGTAAACTTCTCCGAGGTATAGCCATTTTTGTTTAAGATAATGTTGATGAGCTATGAAAGCCATCTTGAATTGGGTTGACTCTAAAGGTTAATCAGTTGTAGATGTATAGCCAGTAACTATTTTCTGAGAGTCTAAAAAAGTTAAATCTGGTCCTCTGGACATTCAAAAAAAAAAAAAACAAAGCAAATCAACAAAAATGTAGAAACGTTTCGTCTCTCGGATGAGATACGAAACGTTTCTACATTTTTGTTGATTTGCTTTGTTTTGTTTTTTTTGAATGTCCAGAGGACCAGATTTAACTTTTTTAGATTTTTCTACCTGGATTATTGAGCATGCATCAAGATATTTTCTGAGAGTTTCACCTAAATCCATCCAGTGGTTTATGAGATATTTTGCTAACAGACAACCAGCGTTGACTCAATTAGTTCTTGCCAAGGTTTTAAGCAAAAAATGTTGCACAATGTTAAGTGCTCAAAGTATGTGTTGAGGAGGATGCTCAGCTACTACTACACCGAATTTGAGCTTACTATAAGTACAATGGACTGAGTTAAAGCCATTCTTGGGTTTTCTAAGTTCAGCTGGTTGTGGCAGCCATCTTAAACTGGGTTAGGTCTTAAAGGTAATCAGCTGTAGAGGTAGAATAAACGATTCATTGCTGAGAGTTTCATTAAAGTCCATACAGTGGTTCATGAGATATTTTGCTAACAGACTGATTTGGTGTTGATAATTATCAGCAAGGTTTTGAACACAGATGTTGCACTGTTAGTTAGTGCTCAGAGTAAAAGTTGAGTATGACTCTCGGCTACTACCACACCAAATCTTACCTCAATATCTATAGAACTGTGACTGAGTTATAACCATCTATGTGCTAAGACCACTTAGCCGGGGCAGCCATCTTTAGACATATGGACTCCTGCAGTCAATCAGTCATAGATGTGCATCCAATGATTACGTTCTGAACGTTTCATTAAAATCTGTTCTGTGAGATATTTTGCTAACAGCACAGGCAAATAAGCGTATGCGCACACGGACGTGAGCAAAATTAATATTGCTCCACTTCTCTTTGAGTGGCGAGCAGTAAAATTGTATTTGGGTTGCCAAGTATAACTGCGAAAAGAAAGAAAAAAAAAAAAACGCGCTCCACTGAGTTTTAAATTCTAAATCCGTTGCTCAGTTTTTCCACTACATGTAAACTCTCCCCTTGTTAAAATTCCTGTTGCCCAACTGTGAGCAGCACCATGCTGTCATTTTCCAGTGGCCTCTGCAGCCAAGCCCTGCTGCTCTCATCTAATGGCATTAGTGCACGAGGAGAGCCGTAACCTCGATTTTAGCATGCAGTTTCTCCTACGTTTAATTCTTAATGAAAACGTTGCGTGGAAATTCACGGCTCGAATAATCTGGCTCAGGTAGGTCAGTTTCGTTAGCGCGTTGTGAATTGGCACCGGGTATTTAACGGCCTTGGCTCCCGGCAGCTACTTGTTTATTCTCTCCGGGTTTTCTCAGCAGCTGTCAGTCGCCTTTATTGTCCAGCCTGCGCCCGCTCTCTAACCTTGTTTGCATCCAGTCGGAGTTAATGGATTGCGGCAAAAAACGGCTCTTTGCGAGCGCTCGTTACACAGTAAACGCGCAGACGACGATTCATATTTTAGAGCACCCATAAACAATCCATTTGCATTTAGATGAAGAATGGCGAACAT